CAGGGATGGCTCTGCAGGGAATGTTCCACGGGCAAAGCAGGGCACAAAGGAAGCGAGCAGATGTCAAAGATAAATTCAGGCAATGGCAATTCTCAGGAAAAACTGTTACTCTTACAGCATCATCAGATCAGAAACACAAAGCAAGTAGATACACAGGCTCCCAGAGTACAAGAAAATCAGGGAATGATGTTCTTGGGACAGAAGAGTTTTCAGTAGTGTCTTGAAATCCCAGGAGATTTTGTTTTTCAACACGAATGCTTGAAATAAATTGACTTTATTATCTTTCTTGAATGCCATGTAAAAATGTTTGGGGCAGAAACTTGCTTCTGATTCCATAAGTCAGTGGTTTTTTTTACACATGGGTTTTCTTCAAGTTGGGTTTTTTATGGTAATTAATCTTGTGCAGATGACACATAAACACACAATACAGCCTCAGAAATCGAGTTCTAGAGCAGAGAAAACCCTTGCTCTAGACAGAGAGTTGAGAAAACAAACTCCAGAACTGCAATTCCAGCTTTTAGTTCTCCCTGAACCTCAGTTATGTCACGTGGACACACAGAACAAGCACCTCAGTTACCTCAAAGGTGGGGGAAGTTTTGTTCCATGATGCATAATCCAGCTGGAAATAAAACCAGGCCTTAGTGGTATAGCTGAAGTCAGGGCTGCTGACTGAATGGGAAATCATGGAATAACAGAGATCATAGCTGATCTTGTCCATTCCCTCATGACAAAGGGGATCAGCTGTGCCACAAACATTCCTGAGCATTCAAACCAAAGGAGGAAGGAAGGAGGGCCCAGCTCTGACATCCCAGGTGCTGCCCTGGAGGAACAGTGGCTCCAACATATTCTCACCGAGAAATTTGCTTTTTAACTTGGATTTCCCTGCAGGAAGGAATTTTGATAAAGATGGGAACATGCTGGACTGGTGGAGCAACTTCTCAGCGCTGCACTTCAAGGAGCAGTCCCTGTGCATGGTGCACCAGTACGGGAACTACACCTGGGAGCTGGCGGGGGGGCAGAACGTGAGTAACAACCACCCCTTCTCCTCATGGCTGGGAACAGGGAATCCCTGCAGATCACACCCCCCAAACACTACAGCTGGCTGTTCTGGGAGCAAGGCACAACAGCAGCCCAGCAAGCCCAGGCTGTGTGCAGGGAGGTTCTGCCCAGCCCAGCTCCTGTTCGTGGTACATTCATACAGATGGTCTCTAATCTACACCTTTTTCCCTGTGATTTTTAAATTTTTTTTTTAAATTATTCTCTCCTGTCTTGCCCCAGTACAAAGCCATTGTTTGTCTGTGTTGTACGACTGTGCTTCAACCTGTGGTTCTTGGAGTTGCTGATTTTACTGGCTATGGAGTGAATAAATGATTGTTTTTCACAGGTCAGTGGCATCAGCACGCTGGGAGAAAACATTGCAGATAATGGAGGAGTCCGACAGGCCTACAAGGTAACTCAAACACACTGGGAGTTAACCTTACCTGGGACCCAGCAGTGGGGTAACCCATTCTGTCCTAAAAAAAAAAAGACACTTAACATGCTATTACCACATGCAAAAAGCTAAAGCCTCAGTTACATGTCTAGAAGCTTCTGTCCCCATGGATCCAGTCAGAGTAGGAACTGCCATTCCTGGACCCAGGAGCAGCCCAAAGGTGGAGCTCCAGGGTGAGCAGAGAATGTTCTCCCCTGCAAATAACCCTTACAGATGTCCTGGTGCAAATTTTTTATCTCTGGTGTTTTGAGTATGGCACCAGTTAAGGGTGCTTATAGCCCATCCTGGATTTTCAGAAATCTTAACTGACATTTCTGATCCTGAGGGACAACATTCCAATCAATGACTTTGTTAGAATTGTTTCAAAAGCCATCACAGGTGTGCAGGAGCAGAGTGGGATGACACAAACTGCCTGCTTACAGAATCCTGGGATGTTCTGTGGTGCTGGATCTATTTTTACCCCCAGCTCTCCCTTCTGTTTCATGTGCTTTGGGACTATCTCAGCAACAGAGAGGCTGCAGAAACAGAACTCTGGGAATTAACCAGCGTGAGGACATATTAACTTGTCTCCATCATGTCAATATAGCTAAAAAAGGCAAATTGGCCAATTACTGTGTAACAATAAGAGGTAATGGATTTAACATTGAGCAAGGTTGATATCTGCTATTTTATGAGCAGTTACCTGAAGAGAGAAAAGTCATCACTCTAGAGCTGTGGAGGAGACTTAACACTTTATTTCCAGATACAAATTCCTGTGGAAAGAGTCAATGAAGTCAACAGAGCTTATGCTGACAGCTTTGTCATAAAATTCTCTGTACTATTTGTATTAGAGAGAGAAAACCCACAGAAGTACAGAAGGGAAACATGCTGGGTTCATTTATATTGTGGCTAAAGGCACCCCAATAAAACACTCAATATCCCCCTCCTGCTCCTCCTCTGAGTTGGATTTATGATCATTTCCAGGCCTATTTGAAGTGGCTGGAGCGGGAAGGGAAGGAGCCAAAGCTTCCTGGACTGAACCTGTCCCACAAACAGCTTTTCTTCCTCAATTTTGCCCAGGTAAGAACAGTCAGGGTGGTGCCCCAGGCTCTCAGATTTCAGTTCATGTGAGGAAGGAAACACCTGGTGAAACCACCTGCTGATAGATTGATCCCAAAGCATGAGATCTTGATCCGAGACCTTGAAAAACAAAACCTAATTAGTAAATACTTGTATCTATTCTACCTCTCTATAAAACATACTCCAGTGATATCATAACAAACTGGGATGGCTCTTAGGAAAACTTTGAAAACCAGTGAGAATGTTCCCAAAATGAACTCCCTGAAACCCTGACCCACTGATTATTAATGCTCCCTGTCCAGGTTTGGTGTGGCTCCTACAGACCAGAATATGCCAGCCAGTCCATAAAGACAGACGTGCACAGCCCTCTGAAGTACAGGTGGGTTTTACTGACTCCTAACTCACTTCATTCACCCCCTTGCACCAAGACAGCCCAGAGGAGAGTTTTATAACACAGTAGATAAATCCAGACTAGCTTTCGGGATTTCTACCATGGCTGGAGAGCACATGCACTGGGCCTCCATGGTAACAAGTGTCTTCCCTTTGTTTAGGGTGATGGGATCCTTGCAGAACTTTGAAGCCTTCTCCGAGGTGTTCCACTGTAAGAAGGGCACAGCCATGCACCCCGCAGGGAAATGCCGGGTGTGGTAACCCAGGGACAGGGAGGGTCACCCGCTCCGGGGCCACCACACACGGCTCGTGGCAGGGACGTGCCTGGTGTTCTCCTGTTCAGCCCCAGCCAGGGCTGACGGGGCAGCTGCTGGAGTGGGAATCCTGGACCCACAGCACTGAGCTGTCCCAGTCCCCCTGGGCAGCACACGGGGATCGCAGGGAGCCGGGGCTGGGCCCGAGCCCACGGGGTGTTCCCGGCCAGAGCGACTGTTTCCAACGACATCCCGACTGTTATCAAGACACTGCATCAGGGCTACAAGGACTAATGCTTAAGGGAAAACAAAACCAACAAACAGCCACAAGTCTATTTTTCAGAAAGGAACAATAATTTTAATATGCCAGCTCCGCCTTCTGAGGCTCAGCAAACCTGTCTGAGGTGTTTCACTGATCTGCTCCCAGTGCTCTGATCCACTTTCTGGTGCATTCTTCCCCAAATCAGGTTAGAGCTGCTGTAAACTCTGCTGTGTGTACCCCTGCACTTTGCTTTGCTGTCAGAGATTGCTATTTGTCGTGACATGTCACGCAGTGAGCCCCGTGTCGAGATGCCTGTTGCACTCTCCTCCTGCACTTGAGTTCCTCTGCTCCAAAGAACAACCTTCAAGTGACATATCACTAGAATTATCACATTTTAGGAGTACAAATTCTGTCTTCATGGTTAAATTACAGGGTCCCACCCTTCAGAGATATATTTAAAAATTATGCTTATTCTTGTAGAAAGTGTATAAAATACTTTTTGCCAAATAGCAAAACATGTATCCATGGAAACAATTAAGCTGGTTTTAATCCTGTGCCTTTTCATTTTGCCATAGGCTATTTTTCAGTATTTACACTTGAAAATGTAACATGCATTAATTTTTAATAAAATTTAAAAAGAAAAAAAAATCACAGTGGCCAATTCAGCAAGGATTTCCCTACGGAGAGGGTTGGGTGGCTTTCCTTGGTAAACATCCTACCATAATGAGGATATTTTAAACTTTCAACACTTCATAGTGACTTTTAAATACTCTTTCAGCAAATGCTTTTCTTTCTAGCACAGAAATCCCTGGAAAGCAAGGCAGTAACTGCTTGTGTGAAGTCATGGTGGGATTCCTGGAATGTCCTGTGCAGGGCCACAGGTTGGACATGATGGTCCTTGTGGGTCCCTTCCAGCTCAGGATATTCCGTGTTTCTAGGGCTTCCAAAGTGCTAAATCACACTATTCCTTTGCTTCCCTGATCTCAGCACCCTACTAGCAAAAGGTTTGATCCTGTAAAGTCAGATTGGCACAGAACCCCCCTCTAAAATACAAGTTGTTGTGCTTTGTTACCATGTTCATACTCCAGATTTGGCCTTGGGAATTGCCTTCTTCCCATTTGTTCACTCAAGTCTCAGCAGAGGGACTGAGAAACTGCCCGACCCCACACTGGGAAGGGGTCACTGCCCCTCAGGAGGGAACTGGGGCGAGGGACAGCAGGGAGTGTGTGCCAGGCACAGGAAGGGGCTCAGAGCCCTGGGGGCTCAGGGGCAGGAGGTCACAGGGCCAGTGTCCTGACTCTGCAGAATCATTTGGCTCTGGAGACAGGCCACTGGGGTTCTGGTATATGCACCTGGTAAAGGATAATTAACATGTGCAGAGGGTTTGTTCCAAGTGATCATCACAGCACACAGAAGTTTCTTCATTTTTTCATCTGAGTTTATCCCACCTCCCACCTGCAGAAGGCTCTTCCCAGCTGTCAGTTTGTGTCAGCGCCAAGTGCAAAGAACTCCAACCTCCTCCCCTCACAGCCCCAACCTCCCCTCACAGCCCCCCTCCTCCGCTGTTGTACCCCCTCTGCCCTCCCACTCCCCTCGCCATCACAGCCCCACCTCCCAGCAGCCGCTGATGCCCGCGGTGACCCAGGACTGGAGAGAGGAGACAGGCTCCAAACGCCCAGGAAAGGGCACTGAACTACTCTTGACCACCGCGTTACTTTTTCGTAATCATAAAACACTTCAGCCTAGTGGGAAATCCTATACCCAGAGGTGTTTCGCTGCATTTTAGACTTGTGGGCAATTAGGCATCAGAGAAGCTTTATTACATCCTCAGGAAAAGGAGGACGATCCCGGTGGTTTCCAGAACGAGGACCATCAAGCCTTTCCTTCTCCCATGCTGCCACCTGGCGACAAACCCGGCTTCCAAAACACACCAAAAGACACATCCAACAGGAGCAGTTTTTTTCAGGCTCCGTGGAACACACTCTCGGTGCAGACATTAAACACCCTGCTATGGGAGCACCCAAATATTTCATTTCCAGCTGGTGGATGGGTGGCCCTGGTTGGTGCTGCACCTCCTTACCTGGCTGTGCAGAGCTCGCAGCTCACCTACAGCAGCTTCTACCTGCAGGTGAAGTCACTGGAAGTCACGTAATTATGGGGCTGGAGGACAGATATTTCTTTCCAAAAGCATCTTTGGAGCAATTGCTGCCTCAACACTAATAAATCCCTCCTCCTCCTAATGACAAACTTACTGAACAAGAGTAATACTGAACTCCTTTCCCTCCTCAAGATCTTCACCTGTTTTCACAGCTGTTTATTTACCTCAGTAAATTTATTATCACTTTATTAACAAATTTATTATCAGCTGATTCACCTCAGTAAAACAGTAACATCAAACACCTCAAGATCCAGAGGGTTCCAACAGAACAATTCAAAAATGACACAGCCTGTAAAAGCCACAAGTCACAGAGGTGCAGGTGCAGCAGTAGGATGACAGAGGGCCTTCAGCAACAAGATAAGTCATTAGACAATAAAAAAACCCTTAAAACACAACTTAGCAGAAGGTTGGTTGTAGACAGAGATGGCTGAAGGTGCCCTGTCATTGTTCTCTGAACTTTCTCCACTTGGGGATGTGGTTTTATCTCGAAAGTTTGCTCAAAAAGCTTTTTTTATTGGCAATGGACCCTTCATGCACAGGCGTTGCAGAGAGACAAGAAGGAGTTAACAATTACCAGTTTCTACGGTTGGAAATGTTGGAAAATAGCCAATGTTAATGAAACATTAACCAGCTACTAAAGAACTTACCAAAGAGAAAAAAAGTCAGGAAAAAAAATTTGTACTTTCGCAGTTCCTCTCTTTACTGATCATTATGACACAGTCAGATCAGCCACAAACCAGCAAACACAAAACCAGTAGTGGACTTCCTGGGTGCTCCTGGAGTTTTCAGAAGGAAATGTCCGAACTGTCTTCTTGACTTGTCTCTTATTTGACCACCAAAAGTAAAACCAATTCTCAGCAGACACGAAAGAATTTCTAAACTGACTTTCCCTTCACAAAGTTTCAGAAAAAAAGGGTTTGTGCTTGGTTGTTTTTAACCATCCCCATTGTCTGCCATGGGTCAAACAAGACTCTCC